TACCATCTGGCTCAGAATCTCGCCATTTCGAAATATTCATTTGTTCTCCAGTCTTCCAGACCCAAACCCCGTCTTTATTCTCTAAACCAATGTGCCACGCACTAGTATTCCAAGTACGACGCTTTTGAATCTCATAATTGATAAAATTCCATTCTTCTTCACTCTCGATGGAAACTAAGTAACCTCCCAGGGTGGAGCAGACAACGCTGTTGAAAAACCAATTTCTTCCGCTTTTCGAAAATGTGTAAGAGGAGTTTTTGAAACAGGTTGGTTGGCACTCTATGAGAAAAAAATAAACGAATATATAAAGGAACGAAAAAACGTATATTGATGATAACAATAGTGATAACAATAATGACGGAGACGAGAAAATGGTTTTTATATTTCTAATTTAAAGTAAGAAACGATGGGTATCAAAGCACTCTACATCACTGAAGCAAAGGTTAGAGTTCAGTTACTTAAATGTAAGTCCATTTAACATTTACGTAACTTAACTGCCTCACCTGTTTTTGGAAATTTCATTAACAAATGAAGGATGACTGTAGAAAAGAAAATAAGCAAATGAATTGAGTATTATCTCAAGAATAACATTTGAAACAAATGAAAAAGTTTATTAGATTTGGAGTTTGAGGGTGCTAATGCATTTTATTTGCTACATGCCCTTTAACATCAACCCATGACTTTTATTACCTTCCCTAGAGAGCTGACGGAGAAATTATAAAAAAAATGCAGCATCCCTGCAATTTACCAACCAGCTGAACAAAACCTGTTGCATGTGGAAAACATTTTTAAGAATACGGTACACCTTCGCGAATTTCCTTTAAATTTTTAAACGGGCCATTCGGAGTGCAACCAAACTATAAACCAATGAAAAGTTTGTGAAATGTGCTATCCGGAGGAAAAAAAAAAATTTGTGCTCAATTTAAAACGGACGACGTTCCTTTAAGCGAATTAATCGGGTATCAAATCTGACCGCTCAATTAAAACTCCTGTACAATTTGAATCTTGAGGGGTTGGTCTCCAAAATGGAGTGAGGATTTTTCCATATTCTCGGGCGTTACTAAGCTATGGATCTGCGGACCGCGGAACCTCCGGAACCCATATATTTTTTTGTACAAGAAGAGCAATGAGATAAGTATAAAGATTGCTTTCGGGTACAAACAAGAATAATTGAAAAGAGAAATATATTTTAATTGTCCATAACGTCCAACTTGACGAGTAGTGGGCAGTCACCTACCCTGAGTCTTAATAATCGAACAATAATTTTAAACCTATAACGGTTCGAGTTCCGCGATATTTAAAAAGACGCCTCATGCCATGGCTCTCAGTAAACCTTTAGGCTTGAATTCATTGTACATGACCCTGAAATGGGGAACACGAGGCGTAAATAACATCATCGCCCGTGATGCTCGTAGAATTTCTAAGGTAATCCATTAGACATGACTGGATAAAGAGCTTTGCTAAAAGCTCAATCTCAGAATCTTTTATTGAAGCATAGATCGAAAAAGAATCTCCATGTGGCTTTAAGGAGTTCCATTGCTGAATTTTAATAAATAAAAGTTTTTTAATTCTTAAGAGTTGTTTCAATAATGTTTCTGTAAGTGCACGTCATTTTAAATCTTCATCTTCATCGAGAAAAATACGGCCGCCGAAAGTTGACTCATAGGTCTAGGCGACCTATTGTTTTGTTTAGCACTCAATTAATGAGAAAGGGGAAAAACTTAAGAGGCCAGGATAGCTATGGCAAGATTCAGGTTTATTCAGAAAATTTCATGTCGTTTATTTAGAAACAAAACCCTTGAACTAGAATTTTGAGGAAAGACGAGCTCAGCAATTTGTGCCATTTTTGATAATCGGTTTTGTTAAAAACCGGCGTTTAAGCGATTAAGCGATTTTGGCTCAGAAAAAAAATGTTTGCTACATTTGAAAAAAACATGGTAGTTTCGATTACATTGCAATGTTTGAAAGAAATCGATTCTTCGACCCGAAACGTATCGGACCTTTTATAGAGAGACTACGTCGTAAGTTGGATAGCCTATCTAAGCTCGTCGAACGTTCAGCAGCCATCTGAAGCATAGAAAGAGGAGACGTGTTTTCCTTTTGACATCTTGTCATAGTGGCGTAAAACGATAGCAGCTAAGCTGTTGTGTTCCTGTTATCCTAATTATGGCTGTCAAAGCTGTTGTGCAGACAACCATAACGCAAACAACATGACCACCGCATGAATGTCTCGCTTGTGCTACTTGCATTCTGATTACTTGGCACTGTATGGAATCTAAAAGGCGTCAGGAATCCAATTTATAAGAGATCCTTCTCTAATTGTAAACTAAGAGTTTAATGCGAACATCTTTAGAGTCTGGTTTGTTTTGTTTTGATTAAGAGTACAAAATAACCAGCACCTTACATTTTTCTCGGTTTGGTTTGGCCGAATTTCAAAAGATGTAACAAAATCGATGTAAATGTTTCGCAAAAGGAAAATCAAAATACAATTAAGGTGGTACTAACCCAGCGCACAACTTTTTAAAAAAAGTTTTGCACACTTTTTCGGATTCAGTTGTACTCATCACGCAATTCATCAAGCACATGATACTATTATAGGTTATTGTTATTGATAGCTGTCTTTACACGTATACAAATGTGTTATTCTGGCTGATTATTTTCCAATTATTTGCATTGTGTAAAAAACAAAAAATATCGAGAAACTAATAATAATGATGATAATACGAAGATCCCCAAGTTTTGCTTTAATGATTAACAAATAGTTTAGAAATGACATGTGTAGAGTTTGGTATGTTTCGTTATTAGAGTTCCGTATGTTAAAAAAACCGAGATAAATATTTCACAAAAGGAAAGTCAATTTGGACGGTGTCACAGCTACAGCTACAAACAGGAATAACTGGAGTCGTACTTACCCAACACACAACATATTACCGGGGTTTTGAACATTTTGTCGCATTGAGTTCCATTAATCATCCATTTCATCATGCAAATGATGATTCATGGCGTTAGTCTTCATTTTTTTTTCTGTAATAGACAGACCAATGGACAAAAAGCGACTTCCACCAGCTGTGGAGCATTGTTTTCCTAATACAATCGAAAATAAAAATTCTTTTTGCAGTTCAAGTTTGTGAAGAAGCAGCTCAGAAATAATTGATATTAGGAATGGTAATTTTTTATGAGCTCTGCTAAATGAACTTCGTCTTAGACAAACTTCTGTTTTATGAACTGGCAGCTAAAGCTAGTATGCCTTCGGTTCGTATGCATAAGTGGAAATTATTATTATTTCTTCATCTCGCCGATGACCTGCTGCGCGTTTCAGTTGGTGGGTCTAATTACTTCATATGTCTTCTTCTTTGATGGACTAACTCTTTTATGTGTTAATTAACAGGTATTATTATTTTCATAGCACGGCAAACTCCGAGTCAAAGGATTTCTTCTCGGTTTTCTTAGATC